TTAGTTACATTCATCTTGGCCCCGATAACACTCCAACAGGAGTGGGAGTGAGTTAGCGAGAACCAGAATCCTGTACTTCCAGCAGGAACCACGCGGAGGTTTCGCTCTCAGATCGAAGTGTCGGACCGCAGTTTGAAACCACCCCGATCTCACCCTGCCTCCAGACAAGGAGGCGTAGTGAGTTCAAATCCCTCTTTAGTCGCCCCGTACGACACGCGATGGGATACGGGAAGACAAATTCTCAGATTGGTCTTCCACGGCCACCTTGCACGGTGTGGGACCCATTTCCCATGGTGGACACCTGGCAGGCGTAGAGCGTTCGTACATCATCGGTAATGTCCCATCTCAACGTCTCCATCGAAGCGGTACTTAGCTAGATGGTTACAACTCTCTGCACCACTTTTAGTCGCCTTTTACGACATGCCGTGGGCTACAGGCGGCCTATTTTGAAGCTGGGAGCGCCGCGGCGACGCTACCGACAACAACGATACTACCTTGTACTCCTCTACTTTTTCTCTTTTCCTCTTTTTCCTTATTCGCTGCGGACACGGAAACACGGTGACGCCTCTAGTGGCAATGTGGCGCATTTTTCGTTGGATACTTGTCAAATGTTTACATTAGAAAAAAGTGACATTAAATTGTTTCTGACGATTAAATCTATTTGTGATATACTACGGCGACCAAATTTATAAACTATTAAGATGTACATGAAACAAAAGTAACTTTTCGATTTGAGTCAATCTGGAAAAAATATTTTATTTTGTATTTTTTATGGAGGGTGGTAAAAATGGCTATTAACATAAACAAAAAATTATTTAAAATTAATTTAAGGTAATTTTGAAAGATTTACTTTGAACTTTTTTCTGAACTGAAAAAATTGCAGTGTTAACCAAACTTTAGAAATAAAAGTTTTTGTTATTTAGTGAAACAATTCTCTTCAATCGTAATTTTTTTAAAGTGTTCAAAATATGTTGTAAAAAATATTAATTATGAAATAAAATTAGAACTGTTTACAATTTTTTAATAATTAAAAAAATATTCCGATTGTAAAGAAAGTTTCTCTAAATTTAAACTAATCCTTTATAAAAAATAGATAAAAAATTCGACTTTTGTTTATTCTGAAAAAATGGCAAATGTTAAAAAATAATTACTTAACATAATTTTATCCGAAATTTTTATAACTAAATCTATAAAAATAGGTTATATTTAGGTTTTGTTTGCTCTAAAAATTATTTTTTAATTTTGAGGTTATGTTATATCCTACATTCTCGTTAATTATTTGTTTAAATAAATTATTTTGGTTTATATGTGTAAATGGAATTTTAAAAATCAATATATTTATCTTTTAAAATAAAAAACTACCATTAAATTAACTGAATAAGGAGGAGAATTATTGACAGACGTTTGACGAATCACACTTGCTTTAATTGCTTCATTGATTCCATCAACTCTAAATTCTTCCACCCTGACAACCTGAATCATCGCTAAAGCCTTCCCTTTTTTAATTGTTTCTGGGCGAAATTCAATTTCATGGTTTATTGCAGGAAACCCCGTTTTTATTATAACATTCATATTATTTACATTGATTACTATTGATCTGTCATTATCGTTGTCCAACGAAAATTGACTAATTTCGCCACATGGAGCGCTGATAGTCATATCCGGTATATGTTCAAGGCCATGTCCGTAGCGAATAGGTAAAATCATTCCTGTTCTCCATTCGTCCGGACATCCCTCTGCCTTCCATACCATATTAATAATTTTCGATAATTCTTCTGCCACCCCCTCACCCCCAAATTTTAAACACTCCTCTTGTGTTTCATCCGCCCCTGCCACCTTTACTCTCTTGAGTCTTCCTATTACCATGTTAACTTCTTCCTTGCTTATTTCTTGTTGCTCCATCTCTATTCCTCTTTTCCTTTCACTCTTTTGTCCATTCCTCCATTTAAATGTCCTGGCTTACTCCCTTCTTTCTTTTTCTTTCTCTATTTATTACCTCCCATTCTCATCCTTACTTAATTGCTGTTTCCACCTCTTTTAAAAATCTCTCTTTTCCTTCTACCCTTTTCTTTCTTACCAGTTTCCCATGTTCTTTATGTCTCTTATTATAACCAGATTTTGACATTCTCTCGCAAAATCCCTTAGTTTCTCTCTGCTTTTCTCGCATTCCTTGTCCCACCATCCTTTCTTTGACTGCATTTGTTCTTTTTCTCCTAACTCTTTTATCACCTCCTCCATTTCCTTTTTTAAACTTATTAATCTGTCTTTAGTACCCCTTTTCTCTTCCTTTATTTCATTCTCTCCTGCATCTGCTTTCTAAATTCCTTTAGCCTACCCACCTCCCATTTTCCCATCTTAATATATTTTTCTTTTATCACGTGCCTCCCTACTTCCCTTCTTGCATTCTTTTTCCCCCTTTTAATTCGAAAATTAGTGGAATCCGTGTCCGATTCCCTCCCTACCTGCAATCTTTTGATTACCTCCCTTGAATTTTCATCCGCTATTAGGTAATCTATAACTGTGTCACCTTTTCCTGCAAACGTCAACTCCCCCTCTTATCTCCTTCCATGTTGCTATTGCAGATCGCTTATCCTCTTTCCCCAATCATACTCAACAGTTTTCTTCCTTCTGTATTTACTTTTTTGTGCCTTGATGTCCTTACATATTTTTCGTCTTCATCACTTCATTCCCCTCCCCCCAATTCTCCAGTCCAAGCATTAAAATCCCCTCCTATTATAACCTTTTCATTTCTGTCTTTCTCCACCCACTCTTACAATATTTTCCATCCTTTATTCTCTCCTCTTCTGCTGTATAATCCTACTATCCCTATCCCTTTCTTTGTTATCTTTATTCTTCTCATCATGGCACCTTTTTCTTTCCATCTATTCTACTTCATTTCCTCCATAAAACTTATTCCTGCACTCTTACCTTTAATATGATCCGTTTTGCTTCCTATAATTATCATTTAAAACGCCTCGGCAATTTTCTTTTCACCCCCTCGTATTCCTTTCCATTTACCCATATCTCGCTTAACATCACCACATCTCATTTCTGCAAATCCTTCCAAAAGTCTTCTTTTTTTAATTTTATTTTTAATTAAATAATTATTATATAATTATTATTATTATTTAATAATAATAAATAACTTTATTTAAAATATTTCAACTAAATAACATTTAAGACGAAATTTTTTATAAATATTTAAATATATTCTATAGTATATATGCACATATATTGTTAACTTTTTCAAATCGACATAAAAATTACAATTGTTGAAATTAATGAATTAATGTTTTATATAATTTATACATACTTTTTTAATTGATAATTTATTAATAATTGATTATAATTCAATGTTATTCTACATATTATACATATTTTCCTGGCAGGCGATCAAAATCTTCGCCGAGCGACCACTTTGCCTGCTAACATCACAGTCATCAAACTTTGGACGGTGTTGCCCATGGCAAATAGGCAAATAAGACTTACCAATTTTTATAAATTGAATTAAACAAACAATAATGAGTCAATATTCGATCAATGAAATCAATATTCAAATCAAACTAAAAAAAATTTCTCTACTGAGAAAACTTTTTCAAAATGAAGACTCCAACCAACCTTAAACTGGGGGTTGTACACACCGTCTTCACATGACACCACACCTGAACTGCGTGTCTTCCACCTTTAAAATTGATTTTGTTAATTCATGAAAAGGGTGGAAAAATTGTAATGAATATGTCCCTTGCAAACTTGCAATTTTTGGGAGTAGCGGGATCCAACTTGAATGCGCTACTCCTTGTATTCAGCAATTTTGTTGCTCAATATGTACATTGATTCACAAAGTGAATTTACGAATTTTTTATTAAAAATTAAATTAAATTTATTAAATTAAACATTTCCGCAATCTAAAAACAAAGTGTGATTTCGAAGGGTTAAGCTTTTAATAATATGCAATAAATGGAAAATTACCCATAAAAAATGACAAAATTGCAAATATTTCATTCACATGAACCATTACGATTTTGTTTATGCGATTTTCGGTTTCCTGGACATATAAAGTGTTACATATTTCGATTCCGTTGTTATCGTCTGCAAACTTTTCTCGCCTTCCTGACCACCGTGCACTTGAATCAAAAATAACAATTTCTGATTTTCTTTGTGATATTGGTCACTTGTCTCTGCCAAAAGAGCCATCTACAGTTGGCACCTTAACCCTCGAAGCACAAACTAGGTCTGTGTGATCCTGCTCTCAAGTTTAATCTTGAATAACTTTTACAAATTTTTTGAAAATTGTGATCTTGATACCAGCAAATAATACTTCCAGATTTATAATAACAATTATTTATAACTTTAATATCATTATTTATAATAACAACTAGATATTGACCAAAATGGAAACTTGTCAAATGTCATTTTTCGTAGTTTTACGTAAAATGATTGTTTTGATTTTTCAAATTGTAATATCCACAATTTATTTAGGAATTAAATTATAAAAAAGTAAAGTAAGTAATTTCAAACAGTTAAAAAAGCGGTATAGTTAAGAAATTTTTAAAAGATTAATAATTAGGTTAAAATTATTTAATAAAAAATTATTTCATCTGTCAACGGTAAGTATTTTTTTAATCTTGAAACCAGGGATATATTATAATTGTTTTGAATAATGCCTTACTTTTATTCTTAAATTTTTAATAAAGGGAAAAAGGTAATTATACTTCAAAATTGTGGTTATTACAATTTAACAAATCAAAACAATCATTTTACGTAAAACTATGTAAAATGACATTTGGCTACGAAGTCAAAATGAAAATGACTTTGACGTCAAAGGTAAATCAAAATACATAATCGCTACCTATGACTAATTTTTATCTTATTGTACCACTATTTGACAATGCAAAACTAAAAAAAAAATTTATCCCAGAAGCTGGACCTTTTGTGTTACTTTAATACTTCTTCTAGAAGTTCTCGAATTTTGCCTCTTATTTAATTCAATAATTCTATAGATTCACGATGATGTTGATGCAGAATTTATGATAACTGCCGATGTAACAAGACTGAGCTCGAAGGTAACTGATTTAATTAAACGTTCAGAATTTCTCAAGGATATTGTAATAGAGGTAAATATGTTTAATCATTTTTTTAAGCTTTTGAAATTATTGAAGTCTACTTCTAATAGTTTTGTACTAAATCTAGAACGAAATCTGTTTTTATTTAGTGAAAATTTTTAGATTTTAATAGGTAAAACCATTCCAAAACATCTCACGAATGTTTTGAGACATAGATGTATTTGCGTGATTGCACGTAGCCAGATCAGCACGCAGTAAACATGCAACATCCTTGCAGCAAGCTTGCCTTGCAAACTGTGCAAATTTGCACGTCAATGTTGTGGAAAGTATGTGGCTAGTAACAAAATGTCCTATTGGTTCAAGTTTATTTGACAAGCATGCTGTAAGATTACCGCGTAATTTGCACATCTTGTAAGGCATATCCCTACTGGAAAGACGTACGTATACGATCTATGTTTATGTCGAAAATAAGAACTCACGTGAAAACGCTAGCAAGATCTCAAAGTACAGAGATGCGAGAGTATTAAAAAAAGTAATTTTTTTGTTTTAGACCTTTTTACATTCTCATCATAATCCCCCACAGCACCGAAACTTTCCTAAAGATTTATTTGAAATGTTCGAATTATTTAATTGCAATGTTTAGTGAAAATTGTGTAAAGATTTAAATGTCCGACTTGAATAAATGTTCAGGAAAGTTTCACACTAAACATTTATTTAATCAGAACATTTAAATCTTTACACAATTTTCAGTAAACTTTGAAATTAAATATTCCAAACATTTTAAATAAATCATTAGAAAAATTTCGATGCTGTGGGGGATGAGAAAGTATTACATTTGCCTGATTTTGACCAATCTCTAATTCTTGTGAATCCTCACGTTTCAAGACTTCCTGATGCCAAAAAAATGGTTTTAAACAAATGTCTGTCCGTCTGTTGACAAAAAAGGTTGCTCAACGATAACTTGAGCAAATTTCAACTAATCGACCTCAAATTTGGTATACTCTTTAAGTGTACCGAAATTTCGCCTGAATTCGTTGGGCAGACAATTTCGTCAAAAAACAAAAAAATTATTCAAATTTTAAATTCTCAAAAAATATTATTTTTCCAAAAAAAATTTTTTTATGAAAAATGTGAGAAAATTAAACAAATTTTTTCATTTAACATTTTTTGATTAGCGTAAGAACAAAAAAGTTACACATTTTTTTAAATTTGGACAGCAGAATAGTTATTTATGTGGTAAGGGCGCAAATAGGGGAATCGAGACTCGCGTGATTGTCGCACTCGCTTCGCTCGTGCGTCAAACTCACGCGAGTCTCGATTCCCCTATTTGCGCCCAATGTCCCATACATAAATTTTTATAACATTTTGCGTCAAAAACTCGACTAAATTGCTGTGATGAAAGGGGAAAGTGTGCGTAAAAGTACGATTTCCCCTCCTTTTAAGCACTAGTGCGTAAAAGACGGCGATTTAGTCGAGTTTTGGACGCAAGGTGTTATAAAAATAGTATTAATTTTATACTTCTATATGCTCTTTCTCTGGTTCAGTAATTCCCATTTGTCTATAATCTTCTGATATTTGTTGTTTAAACTGCCCCCATATTTTATCATGCTCTGCAGGACGAAAATCAATTAAAATTCTTATTAACAATTGACGAAGTGAATAGTGCATCATCCCAACAGCTTCCTCCATTCTTCTAATCCACTCATTATCATATAAGTCCCATTGACAAGAAAGCAGATGCAAAAGATTTATGAATTACACCATTCACTATTTTTAAACTTTCAAATGAAGTTGCTCCTTTCACTGAGAGCAACAATCTTTTTCTTCGCAAATAAGAACATTTTTTTTCATTTGGTAAATGTATAGGGGTGATTTGACGTGAGATTTCAGTCGACCCTTTAAATGCGGTTAAATATATACTTTTATTTTTGTAAATGTAGACCTATTTTTAATGGCTGATAACTCGAAAAAAATAGATTTTTTCAATTTTTGCTAAGAGAAGAAAAATTCCAGTTTTTTTTACTTTTCAATCATTTTAACGAAAAATTATTTTTTCATTTTTTATTAAAAAAATAACAATTTTTTATAAACAAATTAAGTTTTTTTTAATTTGGATATGATTTTTTCTATTTTTTTTAAAACATACCTGGAAATACTAAGATGATTTTGCAAACAAATTTAGAGTGGGTCGATAAGTTTTAAAGGTTTAAATAAACATATAAACACCGCGCGCAGCATTGTGCACATTTCTGAAAAGTAAAAAAAAATGTTAAATTGTTAAAAATTATTTTTTTAATTTTTTTGGAACCTGAAATCATATTTTACCATGAAAAATGAATAAAAATAATTTTTAACAATTTTTTTTTACTTTTCAGAAATGTGCACAATGCTGCGCGCGGTGTTTATATGTTTATTTAAACCTTTAAAACTTATCGACCCACTCTAAATTTGTTTGCAAAATCATCTTTGTATTTCCAGGCATGTTTTAAAAAAAATATAAAAAAATCATATCCAAATTTAAACAAACCTAATTTGTTTATAAAAAATTGTTATTTTTTTAATAAAAAATAAAACAAAATTTTCGTTTGAATTATTGAAAAATGAAAGAAAAACTGAAACTTTTCTTCTCTTGGCAAAAATGGTAAAAATCCATTTTTTGCGTGTTATTAACCATTGAAAATAGGTCTACATTTACAAAACTGAAATTTTGAAAATTCATAACTCCAAAATTTGTCAAAAAAGTACGTCTCTCTTTTTCTTTACTACAAAACATGAAAGAAATATATTCAGCCGAATTTAAAGGGTCGACTAAAACCTCACGTGAAATCACCCATAGGTAAACGGTCAATTAAACATATGTAAAAGTATAGGACAAGAAGGAACAACATATCCATTTCGTCGTACATATGATTTCCCTGTATCTCTTCTACAATACTGAACAAAGCAGTTATCTTTAAATGTCGTTTCTTCTTGAAAATTTTCCATCAACTAAACAGCCACTCGTCTCCACATGGACCATGAATATTATTTTGCATTACAATTTTATGTCATACTGAATTAACATTTTTGTATGGAATTTCTGCTAAAATAAAATTATTAACACTTTCTGATGTTAATATGTTAAAATTTTCTTTTAATATAACCAACAAATGAATATGGGGCAATCCTCTTTTTTTAAATTCAATAACATAAATAAAAGATTTTGTTTTTCCAAATAACTTATCATCAACATTAATTTTCAAAAAATGTTTAACTTTTAAAGCAAAAACATTTGTTACTATACGAGGCCTATTAGAAGCAGATTAATAATGTTTCACTCCTCAGCTGCATCAGATTTCATATACAAAACATTATTCTACCTTTCTCAGCCTTTGCATAATTATCAACTATCCAATGTTGAAACAATCTACGTCCGTATAACAATGCATTATATTCATTATCTCATAACTATTTTGTAATTTACATAAGCAGATCTAGAAATAATATGATTCCTACTTATATCTTCACTATCACTGACTAATTTTAGTTTTTTATTTGAATTATTATAAACCGTAACATAAGATTCTGGTATTTCACCTTCTGAGTTTGTATTGAAGATTGCAGAAACTTCATTACATCTTTGAATATTATTCCTTCTTTTATCGAAACCTTTTTTCAAATATAAATAATAACTGTAACTCTGGAATTTGTTCATTATTTTGTCTTGCTAATTCAGTTTCTATACAAATTACTTCAAACATCATCAAAAAAATTCATTGTAGGCATCAGTCTTTCTATTGCATGTAAAATATCTGTATCTAATTTTTCATTACATTTTAATCTATAATTGATAGCTTCTTCTGGACCATAAAGAAATAATTAGCCAAAACATGGATCTTAACCTTTCTCAGGATATAAAGCGTTATTCAATTTATTGTGAATATGACATTCATTGCATTTGCATTCAATGATGCAAAAGAAAAAGAATTAATGTAAGTTCTTATGTTCCTTAGAAAATTTTCTGATTTAAGATGATACCCACCCAACAACCTTTTTAATTCATCTGGATACTGTACTGAAGGCATAACAACACCACCATGATCACAACAATCATTAAAAGTATTGTTTTTATTCTGAACTTTTTCATGTTTAAAATGCTTTTCCCGGCAATGTGTGCAATAATAATTAATTGCACCTAGATAATTTTCAGGATAATTATATTTTTGTATAATATTATCATGATAATAAATTGAAATTTTTATATTTTAATAATCTTTCTCGGCATTCTTTTTGATATTTTACATTAGTTTTTGTAGGCAATGAATTAAATTTATTATGTACTTAGATGTTTCAATTTTTGACTAGTACGATATTCCTTTTGATATAGTGCACAACATGCTTTAGGCAAAGAGTTTAAGTTATTGTTAATATTTTTCAACTTCTGTTTTTCACGATATTCTTTTTGAACAGGACTTTTAAAAAAATTTTAAATCGATAATCCCTTTCATTATAATGATTAACATTATTAATTTTACGTTTTAAATGTTTACAATTTTCTAGAACTTGTACTTTATTTTTAATAATAATGTTTAATGAAGGATTCGTTTCTATTATATTCGTTAAATTTATCACGCAATCAATTTCACACATGAGATTTTCAGCTCAATTTGAGAAAAGCATTTTTTTGTAAGCCTGTATATTACTTTAAATAAATAAAAATGAATTACCTACTCGTGTGGAAAAAGCCACGATCTTGCCCCCAAGACTTCGGGGCCCCCGGCGGGGGCGCATGAATGCTGATCCATATGGCGAATCCATGATGGCCAACGTAGGGGCCTCGCATGGATCACCCACATGATCGTTTAGCAAAATTTTCTAAATCCAAAAGTCAAATATTTTTTCATCAACAAAAAAATTAATGTTTACAATGATTCAGAACAACGAAAAACGCGTATTTAATAAATATATATTTACACTTTTTCGAAAAAAACACACTCACATATGGCAAGATAAATGAGGGGCAACGTAGGGGCCCACATAGATTTTGTTAATTTTCAGACAATAATTAAATT